GTAACTAAGTGGTCATCCAGGTACCTTAGTTGATGATATTTTCTTTTATTTTTGTAGTGTTTACAATGAATGAATATTAAACATTTTTTTTCTCTTTATTCAGGTTTTATATGGAATAAATATCAGACTCCATACGACCACTGGGAGGTGGAGGTAGTGTTCCGGGTCACAGGACGGGGCCGTATTGGGGCTGACGGTCTGGTTAGTTTTGATGGATTTACAGTTTGCCACATTTGTTGATGATACAAGGCTACATCAAGAAAAGAAATGAAGATTTAAAAAATGACTAGAGACTAAAAAGGGCTTTAAACTATTAAAGAATATATCATCATATACATTTTCACTTCTCTACAAAAATTGAAACTGTACTCAAAACAACACAGTAAGATATATAACGGTAAATGAAAGTGGTGTGAGGGGCTTTCCAACAAACAAAATATTGATGCTTGTTTTCGAACAGCACGCTCGCTTATAAGTTTTTTCTGATATGGACTCTAAACTGTAAGCGCAGTGTACTCAATTTGGCTTATGTGCACTCGGAGATAGTTGAGAGATAATATACAATTTGAAAAATAATACTAATTTATTTTTCTTGTAGGCTATATGGTACACCACAGACAAGAGCCAAGATGGTCCCGTTTATGGAAGTATCGATAAATGGAATGGCCTAGGAGTGTTTTTTGATTCGTTTGATAATGATAATCAGCGTAACAATCCATACATTCTTGCTGTTGTAAATGATGGCACAAAAAATTTTGATCACAACACTGACGGTTTGACGCAGCAGCTTGGTGGATGTCTTCGTGATTTCAGAAACCGGCCGTACCCAGTTAGGGCAAAGATTGAATACTACAAGAAAACCTTGACAGTAAGTTAGTTTCCAGGTTCACTTCTTGGTGTTTCTGTGATAACAAAAAGGAGGGGAGAAGCCGCAAATGCCACGCTGTTTATTTTTATGTCTCTCACCAAAGCAATTGAACTAGTAATTTGTGAAAGCGGTTTGGCGCAGCTGGAACGGTTTGTGTTCCCAAACTTGAGGTCAGGGTTTCAATCCCTCGCTGTGCATTTCGCTTGTGTCCTTGAGCAAGGCACTTTATCTACATTGCTTCTCTCCACCCAGGCCATATTCGTCTATATGGCAGCAACACTAAGCATGTGGACCCAGGGACCAGGGACAACAAAGCAGTTTTTGTAAGCTAATGAAATAGGCGCTATATAAATACTAAAATAACAAAAAATTAACAAATGTATAATTATTCTGTCTCTACCCAAAATTATATAGGAGTATCTGGCAGGATCCAAGAGTGCCACTGAAAAGTGCTACTAAACAGGTTGATCCATTGCAAATTAAGAATGAGTAAAAACAGGAAGTAGAAAGTTGACCTTGTTCTTTCAGGTGTCCTTTCACAGCGGAATGAGTAACTCAGATGCTGATTATGAGCCATGTCTCAGAGCCAACAATGTAGAGCTCCCGAAACATGGATACTTTGGAGTAAGTGCAGCTACTGGTGGGCTTGCCGGTAAGTATATGGTGTAACAATAACAGCTACGGCACAAATGGTTAATGGCATAATAAATGAACAAGCATCATATAACAATGACCTCAGGTGTCATGTGACATGCATTGATTTGATCGGTTGTTATAATTAACCTCTTTCACAGATGATCATGACTTGCTGAAGTTCCTGACTCACAGCCTCACACCCCCAGATGCTGAGGTAAGTTACCTCCCTTGTATGTTCATGATGTGATACTCCTTTATTGCCCTTTTAACATGGCAAAAATGAAATTAGTGTTGATTATTCCGATAGGCAAAAACAGTGCAATTGAAAAAAATAAAATGAAATAAAGACTCTTCCTTTACTGTAAATAGACTAGAGAGCAGCTTATTTTAGTCGGCTAAATCGGTGGTAGCCACTGTGTATGCGCTGAACCGTGGAGATCTCCAGGTCCCCGGTTCAATTCCCATTGCTGTATTTCAGTTGGATGGCTGAAATGCAAGTTATGATAATGCACCGTCTTTTGATTGAGACATTCAGTCACAGCCAGAAGGACCCCACTGGAAATTTCGTGGGATTATCCTTGGTGTTTACACCAAATAAATCCATCCACAAAAACATAATTTAAAAAATATAGCCATGATCATTACTTACACTCAAAATTTATTAATGAAAGAAAAATTCAATGACATCATAAGTTCATTATTATAATTATTGGTTTCTCAGGAACAAGTTGGGGATGGCCATATTACGGAAGAAGAAAGACAGAAATTCAAGGAGGAATATGAACAATATTATCAGAAGTTGGAAAAACAAAGAGAAGAGTAAGTTAGTTGTTTATTGCACCTTCTGGTAAAGTCATGGGTCATATGCCTGTTGTAGGGAAAGAGAACTTCAATTCAGTTCAAGGTTAGGCCTTATAACTTATTTTATACAAAGAAAAAAAAATCAAATATTGAATCTTATTCTTTATTAAGCTCAACACATGAATTTATATAATTTTAATCAGCTACTCTTGTTTTTTTAATTGAGTACAATACTATACTATATTTTTTATGGATTCTTCAAATTGAACTGATTATTTATTGAAACCAGATGAAATTATTCAAGTATATATTTTAATTTCCTAGATACCGCCAGAAGAATCCAGACAAAAACAAAGACTACGATGATTTGGTAAGTTGCAGAGATTACCAGATAGATCAATTATATAAATTATGAATGTAATGGTAGCAGTGGAAATTAATATTATTACTAGTACTATATAGTTTAAAATAATATAAACATGATTTATTGTGACAAATAACTGTTTACGTTTTCTACTCCAAATCAAATGTTAGTTTGAAGATCAGACATCAAGGGAGCTCCGTCAAGTTTATGAAGCTCAAAGTAATATTGTTAGGATTTTGGGGTGAGTAGACCTAATGTACAGAGCAGTTTTGAATGAAAAATTTGTTGTGCTTAAAAACAAGTCAATGTTAACTCTGTATTTTATAGACTGCAATTTTCTTCAACAGTTCTCTACAACAGAAATTAGATGAAATTTCTGGCCGTCAAGAAAGAACCATTTCTACGATTACTAATATGCAACAAGCAGGAGGAGTGCAACCTGCTGGGGGCAATCAAGGTCTGCCACAAGACAATATTAAGAGACATGAAGTGGATACGATGTTACGAGTTCAATCTGATGTCCAACGAACAGTGAATGATTTAAGGTAGTTGTGAATGAACTCAGATTGACAACTGTATTCATATGAGGCTTGCCATTCCAAAACCAGTGTACTGTCACTAATTGTTAAACTGAATAATTAGAATAAAAACATGGCAGAGTATTGTATACTTTATAACAGAGAAGCATAATACTTTTACTTACTTTACTTTGGCAACAGTAAATTGATATAATGACCCATCATTTTAAAGCTTATAATATGGAGAATATGAATATATTAAGTCAGTTTTCTTGTTTTGGTCAGTGATGGTGGTTTTGGCATGGCAAGACCCATATTGCTCACCCAAAACAGGGTAATGTAATGATAATAATGGTAATGTAAAAATATCATTAATGCCAGGAAAAATGCTGGTCGACTTCTAAAATTCCATGTTTTTCAAATATCCACATAAAATTGATTTACAGACCTATCATTTAACTCTACGTTGATTTCATTATTTACATTGTCTTGTGACCTCTTCTCCGCCATTTTGTCTTTCTTATTTCTTCTTTCAGAGCATTGTCTTTATGAGCCTACCAGATGACCATGCATGTGAGCCTTCTTATTTTAATGGTTTGGCTTCAGTGTTCTGCTTATTTCTTGTCCAAATCTTTCTTAGAAGTGTTCTGTAGTCATCTTCTTTCTAAATACTTCGTAAAAAAATTCTTGTAAAAGATATATTCAGAGTACATAGTTCACCGTTGTATATGAATATGCTGGTTATGTAGTGACTAAACAATGTTTGCTTTACCGCTGAAGTCTTCTTTTGCAGAATATGGCGTTTCCTATTGTAGAATTAAGTGCAAACGTATTTTTCGCTTGATTAATTATTTTGTGTCCAGCTTTCCATGTCACTAGGATCTTCAATTAACATTTCCATTTCTGCTAGTAACATGTATTTCAATCTTGGTGCCATTTTCTGATGCTATGGCAAGTTGTTTCCAATAAGCTGTCCAACAGGGGTCTGACAACATCCAGTGAAGCCTAGCAGGATCTAAGGATTAAGGCCTGTTGGTGGTACATAAAAAAACTGGGAAGTTTTGGCAACATATTATAATGCGAAATATGTGATATTGGTGTATTGTGCCTGATAGTGGTACAGATTTGCTTTGTGGTCCCATTTAAAGGGTGGTGAGCAAGATATTGACAACTTGTTTGTGTGCTTGAGTATTGTATCTTGCTTTGCTCCACCCAGTACTTACATAGGTACATATGTTTGCAGAGTGACTGGAATACTGAAGTGGAGAAAGTTAAACATTTTATGTGTGTGTGTGTGTGAAATAAACGTAATAATGTTTATAATATCAAAAGAATAATAATAATAATAATGATAATAATTCACTTCATATCCTCCTTTTATGGTTGGTCCAGCAGATGTTAGCCTTTATATGTAAATACTAATACTATACTAATACTATATATAATGATACTTTTTTCATCCTGTTTTATTCAAATTCAATTTATTTGCTGTAAAAGCAAATTGTTTATTAGCCTCTATTCACAAGAAACAATAGGGAGTTTTTGATTGACTAAAAGTCATCTGTGCATGTGAGAACCTTAAGGTCACCTCATCGAGTAGATTCTGGAACGCAATTTAGCCAAATCTACGTATGCAGAGAACGTAGGACGCCAAGTAGTATGGTCACGCATGAGTGATTCCGTTCTAGCGTCGCGTTGTTGCACAAATCGAAAGCTCCCTAATATACCCAATCCGGAGTGTCAGTCAAACTTTAACAACTGACCAATCGGAGCAGGACCAGGAATACACAAGTGTCTCACAAACATGTGTTATCCCACAAACTCACGTGTGTGCGTATGCTTTTACACTGCCCTTATGTGGGACCTTAGCAACAATATCCAAGGGGTGGGGCTTTATATAGCGGAATGTTCCATTACACATTTTATTTAAATACAGTTACAATAGCCTTAAAGTCATAATAATAAAAATTAAACAAGTAGATTAATGTGTACCAAGGATAGCAGTATGGATGCCTGGTGTAGTGTTATTATATTTTTAAAATAATTACATTGAATCAATAAATATTGTTTATTATTTACTTTATATTTCTTTATAGGTCTGCTGTTGGAGATATACAACAAAAAGCTAACTTTATTCATGCGAAGTCCCAACAGCAACAAGGCGGAGGAGGGGGCTTTGATGGAGGTGTACTTACACATGAAATACAGGACAACCTTCGCAATATAAGAGCTGATTTGGGCTCTTTAGTTAAAAGACCGGAGGTACATCTTTTTTTTAATTATAGCTAGGCTAGATGGTATAATACATACTCCAAGTATCGAAATGCACGCCATCGACATTAATTATGTCATTATCCGGAATCATTACTGATGATGACATAATTAATGTCGAAATATTGAATCCCGAAATGATGGCGTGCATTTCGATAATTGGAGTATGTATGAAACTATCTTATCTGAGATTAATCAGTGGACCTTTTGGTTTTTATAGCTAGGTTAGGTCATAGCATATAAAATGGTAACAAGAATAGAGATGTGATTTGTAGAGTTAAATAAATTATAATTTTTTTTTCACATCAAATTTTTATGATGATATAATCCATTAGGCAAAATCATTTGCCAATGGGAAGATTCCACCTTTTTTTAATATTCCCCTTTGACCTGATGGTTAACATGCATGCTTTTCAATCTTAGGACATTTTTCATGATTAAAACAATCATGTGCTCCCTATAAGCCTCAGTACAAGACTTTATTGTAGAGCATCACTTAATGTGTGCATCTAGCTATTGCAATCAAATACTGTAAAATAAAATAAATTTCATTTTACTCCAATTTTTTTTCTTCCACAGCAAAAACAGATTGCTTGTCCACCCATCCCAGAATTTCCTACTTGCCTGACGCCAATGTCAAGCTTTAAATCGCAATATATTTGTATATAAAATTCTTTATCATTTGTCACCAACCTATCTTTTGAATATGTTTAATTATAATATAAATAATTACAAATTAAGACATAACCAGAAAAATGTTGTTCTGCCATTACCAAAGACTGAATATAAAAAACGTCTTTCCTATAAAGGGGCATTGGAATGGAACAACCTGAATGTTGACATTCAAACAGCTCCAACACTGCGCTCATTTAAATTCAAATTAAGTCAACTTTAAGTCTCTAATCATCTAATCATTTTATCTTGTTCTGATTGTTCCTTGTTGTACAAATGTTTTTATACCTTTTATATATTGTATTGTAATTATTGTATTTATGTATTATTGTGCACGGCCCCAGGGAAGAACAACCCTGTGTTGATCTGGGCCTCCGTGGATAAATAAAGTTGAACTGAACTGAACTGAACTGTAACATTTAAATTAGGTTTGCTGCATAGCACGAAAAAGTTCCTTTTTTAATAGTATGAAAAAAATTCCTTTGGCAGGATTTGTACCTGTAACCTGTAATGACAAGAATATCACCATTAGCCAAAGATACCTATACTGTATAGCTGTAGATCTAATTCCTAGACACCTCCTTTCATAGAACTGATTTTTATGTTCACACATAGTGGAGATAAAGTTTAATTAGGTTTGCAGTAAACATGGATAAAGTGGTGAGACATGAAACTAACTCCAGACCTTACAATTGGAAGCCCACTACAGAACCCCATGATAATGATGAGTCCAGATGATGATGGTGGTGGTGGTGATAATACAGTATAACAACCATATAATTAATGGTAATTGTTTTCTATATTTTACAGAAGCAAGCAAGAAGCAGCTGCCAAAAAGTTTTACTAAATGAGAGTACTAAGAAGGTTGCATGTGTTGAGCTCAAGAACCAAGACAATTAAGATCTCTAAACATCTCATGCTGCAGTTATTTCAAATGCTTCATTTATAAAATGACAATTTGATGGTTAGCAACATAAAATGTTGAGCGAGACTGCAATTCTTAATTGCACTTGATGCATCATTATTTTTAAACCATATATTTATATGGTCACATTAATATAAATTCTACTTGCCCAGTTCAGATGGACTCCCTGTGAGTATTTATTCAGGGCTAGTGTTCCTTTTTGAAAATGCATACCAAGGCATTGGTATGAGGCCTAGTGGAATTGATCTAAACATCTTAACCAAATGGTTAGTGGTTCTTTGAAAGTGGATAATCATTATGAGTAATGGTGCTCCTTAAATGTATACTTTTAGAGATAACGATGGTGTCTGGTTGGCACTTTACAATCACGAGCTATGGGGGTCCATGCTCGTCCAACAAGGCTATATCCCCTGACACCTACTGGTGCCACCACTGGTCAGAATCTCATGTTCTGGGGTTTGCTGAAAGTATTTTGGTCAACAGAATTATATTTTATTAAAAACTACTAGTTGGGAAAACACATGGCTAAGCTTAAGTGTGTTAGTTTAGAACTCAGATCATCGATAGGGAGCTTTTGATTTGCGTGATGACGTGATGTAAGATTCAATCATCCGTGACCGGGGTAATAATGTTTAAGGCATTAAGCGCTATATAAGAACGACATATTATTATTATTATCCAACATTCTATGCACAACATACATTCAGGCCAAACTGTGTCTTAGAATTCAGACGACAATCAGTGATAACTTGATGTTCTCGCATGCACAGATGATTCTTAGTGACAACAGTACATTCTAGGTACTACCGTCGTCGTGCAATTGAAAGCTCTCTAACGCCAGATGTCTCAGCATATTGAAATATTTTTTTTTTTTTTTAAGTAGTTGATTAATTTATGCAAAGTGCAGCCAATATACTTATTTTAAGCCTGATAAAATTCTCTTTTAACAGCAAAGAATAAGTTACAAGGCCCCAAAATTTAACTACTTGATGTCCGTCTATGATGGACACCAGAGAAGATCCCTACTCCCTCTCTACCTTTAAAGGAATATTCTCACTGAATTGTTTTCATCTTTGTAGACCAAATAGAAAATTTTCTTCAACTAAAGGTGCATATATTTGTCTTACATAAAAGTTTTAGTAGAGTCATTTATCTTTCATGGTAGGATATAGAGTGTTGATATTGAATGGTAATCTGTGTTTGTATTAAGCAAGTCCATGTACTACACCTCATAGTTTATTACTGTAATTTATTGGGATAGTATTCTCTATCACTCTTGCACCTATATTTTAAATCTTTTTGACAATCTGTGATTAACATTTCAGGAAGATGTACTAACTAATAGCTTGTTTTGTGTTTTCTTTTTGTAATCATCACATGTACTACTCTAGCTTCCAAAATCTCTCGACTCCTCATCCAAAAATTGCAGTTCTTTTCCTATAAGTAGGCCTGCATCCTTTTCAAATCCACAAACCTAGCATTGCTGAACTTCAAACTATATGGCACATGAGGCTTGCAATCCCAAGACCTGTGTACTGTCGCTGAATGGTAACCACCAAACCAAATATGCTTTTTGTGTCTTAGAAAAGTCAGTTGTACAACATATCAAAAAATAATTTTCCTGACTTTAAACTGAGTACTGTAATTAGCATAGGAATATGGCAGTACTATACAGAGTGTTACACTTTTATTAACTGTGGCAATAGAAAGCCGATCCCATTAAATGACCTATCATATTAAAGCTTATGGGTCATCCATAATTATCAACATTTTAAGAGAGTACAAAACATACTCTTTTCTGTTACCCCCTCCCTCCCCCCGAAAGAGTACACAATAAAATGTTGATTTGTGTCATTTTGAGATCAACATTTTATGTTTTTCATAAAAGAGTACTTATGCCTACACCTGTCTCTTATACACATCTAGACCCCTATATTCCTAGTAAGAATACAATATAGACTAAGCATTACGGCACTTCCATCTCCTACCGGGATGATCATTTAATCAGTTTTTTTCTTAATAAAAGCATTTACAATACAAAAAAGGAGGACAGGAACATGCAATGTATTTACAAATCAGGGCAGCAAAATTGCTCCTATCGTCTATACTGCTGACCGGCAAATTCTATTCATTTTATAATTAATAATCATGACTTTATTTCTAATTAATTAGCATGATTTGGAAGTTAAATAGTATTCTCAAAATGTGTTTTATAATGCAACTCTGATTTGATATAATATTAAAATAAAATATAATACATATAAAATTTGAAGTTGCCATCATATAAGAAAGACAGCACAATCTACAAATGCTTTACCAATTTCATTACTTTCGTTGATATGAATTTGTAGAAAAGACAACAAAACCCCCATGTAAACAAAAGATATTTTTTACTTTTACATGATTTTATGGATATGAACATAATAATTAACATGAAAAAAACAAACAATGGCACACTACAAAATTCCGTATTTTGACATGATTTTGAAGATATGGTACTTTCATGAAATTGATGACAATTATTGAAACATTAATATTTTAGAGAATTAAGCATACATAGGAATCTAAAATTATAAAAAAAATTAATTCCACTGACAATTACACAACTTTTGTACAATAAAAAACAAAAACAGTCTATGGAATGCACACTTTAGGCATTTTGTGCATCGTTTTAAATAATATTTGGCATAACCTACCATCATTATAGTAAGAAAATCAACATTCCCCCACCCCCAAATAAAAAACCTATTTCAGATACTGTGTATTTAACATCAGTAATGACTTGTCCAATGATAAGCAGGATAAAAATGCTATGTACAGAGCGATACATTTGTTAATTAATCCATCGGTCTCGGCTCCATCAGAGGCATAGTATGCAAGACTTCATCCAAGAGTTGTAGTGCTCGATGCAAGTGGATCTCAATCCAACATGGAGTCTGTTTAATGCTCTGCCTTGGGTAGTCCGGACCCCATCCCTTCACAAAACTCATCCTAAGAATACAGAGTCTTCGGAGGTCATCAACCCCTATACCAGCAGCAGCTGAATACCCTGTTAATTGAAAAATACACATCGTTGATTTCATTCACTCTGTTATAACACTTTCTACATGCAATTCTCAACCATTTACGTAGTAATCAATGCAACATTGAACATTTTCTGATCTATAAATATATCACAGAGCTACATTTACAATCAAAACTTGAAGGTGATGAGGCTCAGTTGACCAGACATGATACCCACTGACCCTTACCTGGCCTCATAATGGGCTTTGCCATTTGTAAAATTCCAGATTACGTTCCATGAATTACATACATCCATTTATATGCTGTACTTGTATATATTATATATTTTATAATTCACCTATTCACAAATGCTCAGTCAAAACATGTTTACAATATGGGTGTTGCAAAAGGCTCTGCAATATTTCACAGGGATGTGTGAGTGACCCTGCTTTCTACAAGCTTAGAGATTATGCTGGTCTGAAACTAAAACTTTCTATAATTCTTACCCGGAGTCACAGGCTCATTAGCCATTAAACTAAATGAAAGGTAAAACAAAATGATTATAGCAATGCACTCCCGAACAATGCAACGGGTATATACTTCAATACTCTGAAATTTATAGACAACTTACTGACTGCTGATGCGATACCACCCACAGATTGAGGGCCTGGAACATGACCGGCCACGGCAGCTGCTTGGGCTGCAGCCGCTGCTTGAGCTGTAGCTACTTGCTGCCTGATTTGGGCATGGCACTGACGAAGATCAAATACCTAAAATATGTAAACAATGACAATCAGCAAAGATACTGACAAGCATTTAAAGAGTCATGACATAAACTTTTTGCACTCATTTTTCTGTCCCTATTTAAATTCTACTGACTGAAAAAAAATCTTTAAACACTGAAACTTATTTTCACAAGTTAGCAACTTCAAAGGTGACAAAAATTGAAACAATTCAGTTTTTGCTGATTTACAAATTTTTTTACTACAGTACTAAAATCCTTTCATTCATTACCACTTACGTTTACGTAGGTACATCCGGCAAAGGACCTAATGGTCCGTAAGCGCAGGGTAACAGAGGCTGCTGGACCAGTATACTGGGGTAACCCCCCCTACTGTACTGGGCTCTTTATTTATAGTCCTTATCCGAGAAGACTTGTTCCACCATCATAACCACAGGTGAGCGTGCTGTTTGCACCAGCGCCGATATTATGGCTGTAGGTTGCGGTGCGCCTGCCTTAACCACTCAGCCATTTGACTAGCCACTCTACCAAATTTTAGTATTTATTTCTTATTCTAATTTTCAATTGAAAGCTAATACAGTAACTTAAATCTACACAGTAAGAAACTGAAATCAGTAGCGGATCCAGGAATTTCGAAATAGAAGCGGTCCAGAGAGGGTCTTTCACAGATGGAAGGTGTTGAATACATCACTGCAAATATAGATGTTTTTTATTTTTGTTTCATTCTCATCAAAAGGCAAGCAACTCACCAGTTACAGGATGGATGATGAAGGCAAACATCTGAATCGCTAAACCCACCATATTTTACCTTTAATTTATTATCATTGTTATTAATTTTAACCATTCTGCTAACAGAAAATTCGGTGGTCATTAACGTAAATTGATTATATTGACACTTTAAAAAACATGACTGTAGAACCAATTATGTTAAATAAAGATGTTAATATGGAGAAATAAGTAAATAAATAAAAAAGGTTACTTTTCTACTCTACATAAATTTTACGGTATATGAATTGCTGTTTATTAACTGTAGTATCACAATTCATCAGTTTTTATATTTTCAATTTTGCATATTCATTCACTTTCTGATCATCTCTGGGAACCCTAAAGATCAGAGGTTCCGGTGAAATGATAGGCCATCTTTTTCTTTCCTTTCTCAACTTGTCTTATCTTTTTGTTCATTTCCTTTCTTATATACCTTATCTTTCCATTGCCCTCCTAACATTTCCATGTTTTTTTGGGTTTTTTTTCCCCCTTACATTTCTTTGTCTTTTCTTTCCTTTTCCTTTCTTATATTTTCCTTATCTTTCCTTTCCCTTTTCTTCCTTATTTTGTATCTTTTTTAAAATTAAAGTAATAATAACAATAATAAAACAAAATAACAATAAAAATATGTACTGTAATATAGTTAGATTTTATAGCGCTTTATACTGAAGTCTCAAAGCGCTGGAGGTTTGAACTAGCTTGTACTGTAACTTGGTTCTCCCCTACGGGTCTCTTCGTGTCTGAGCTCTGGTACCAGCTACACTTGTCTGTCCACAATTAATAATATTAACAAAAGTAGTAAAAAAAAAAAAATCATCATTGATGACAAATTACCTTGATATAAGCGCTAGGATATATCTTATGAACAGCATCCCCTGGTGCTCTACCAGCTTCACGGTCCAAATAGTAGCTTTGCACAAACACAGCGTGATCACTCAGGCAGCGCACCCAAACATCACCCTCTCCTCTAAGATCAAGCTGGACACCCTTGCCAATGTGTAACCTGATGGGATATGAAGACTGACAATTAACAACATAATTTATGTATATACTGGTTTATATAGTTAATTTTTCTTCAAAAATATAAGATATACAAAATATTATTAGTAATTGATTAAATATATTGTTTCAATAATTACAATAATAATTTAATTCAATTTTATTATTATTATTTAAATACAAAATAATTGTAATTATTTTAAAAATAGTATCAATTTTATCAGTTGATCGAGTTGAATTTAATTACCTTAAAGAAATTGTTATTAACAAAACACAATTGTATATAATATGGATTATAAATATTCTTCCTTTTTGACATGGAAATAATGTTTTACAGTACACCACTGTTAATATTTATGTTAAATGACTTATCAGAGGCAAACTTTATTTTGTGTTTGTATGAAATAAATTTGTAAAATAAAAATATGTTTACAAGATGTCAATAATCTGATTATAATGCCTTTGGGGGGGGGGAAAAAAAACTATTCTACATCAGCTCTGACCTTGATATAGGTCTTACTTTACATGTCTGTGGACCATATGAATTCTTCATAATAAATATAATAATGATGATAAATGTAAATAAGCTTTTGCTAATAACTATATGAACATGTAACAATTCCACTATAAATCAAACAATATACCTGGCTCGCTCACTAGCTTCTGTTCTGTGGACATTGGATAGCTGGCCGAGACAAAACCTCTCTAGTCCTGATGGATCCACATAGCCATCAATTGTTACAGTTGAGCAGTTTGATGGTACTTTAAATATCTCACCAACCTGAGTGTCCAGTTCAAAGTAGGCAATAGAACACCAGTGTTCAGGGCCTAAAAATAGAAACACAAAAATAATGTGAAAAAAAATCTAACATGAAAAAAAAACTGTACATTGTCTCTGTATCAAATACCTCATCCCCACTGCCCCGCTATAGAAACATGAACTGTTTTAGGTAGACAATTTTTACAATTTTATATCTGGTGCAATCAATGTTCTTCAATGTTTTAAGAAGGAATCCATTGGAGGTAATCAATCAATTAAATGCATTTATATAGCGCCGGTATCCAATAATAATGTTCAAAGGCGCTCAACAAAGTTAAATTTGAAATGCGTACGGGAACAGGTAGGCCTTCAGACTTTTTTCGAAAAAGTTGACACTTTGTGAAGTTTTAATGTGTATTGGTAAAGTATTATATAAAGTGGGTGCTGCACAAGAGAATGCATGTTGACCACATGACTTGAGTTTCCATTTAGGAATATACAGGAGGAATTTGTTAGATGAATGCAGGTAAGTTTCACTTTTTAAAGAAAGGCCACTCTTACATAACCATTTTTTTCAATTCTATTTTATTTTGTTTTATCTGCTTTACACAAATTTTATTTTTGTTTGTATTTTATGATGCGAAATAAATCTGAATCAAGTCAATACCAGTCCATTAAAATTAAAATTACCTGGATGTGATGAGATTGGCGTATTCAATGTCATATCAGTCTGTAGTTGGTTGGCCTGGTTCCAGTAGGGTCCAGGGGTGTTGGAATTCGGTCCATTGCTACTCTGATTAAATGGACCTGTACTGCTAGGAGATGGCCTCCATGCAGCTGTACTACCTAGAACTACAAAAATGTAAAAAATATATTTAAAAATATAATTAGTACTATTTAATATTACTGTACCACTAGCATCATTACCATCATCACCACCACCATCAATGCTGTAATGACGATTCTTGCAGGGTTTGCAACACCCAGCATCTGAGACACTACAACTTCCGGGTCAGCACATTTGCATATTTACCACTACCAACATCATTGGCTATTATCAACACCACCATTACCAAAAATTCCATCATAGTTCATCATAGCCATATAACATCGCCGGCACCGCAGTCAAGAGAGCAGATTCTCTGTAATATCACTAAAGTCTATACATGAAAAATGTCTTACCTCGAGAAGGTGTTTGAGGATTGCTACCCGTTGGGGATGCTGGACCCGGAGGCCCTGAGGTAGATGGAGAAGGGTGTTGTGGTGGGTTTTGCTGCTGCTGCTGTTGTTGCTGCTGAGTCGCTGGGGCCGAGGCCTGTGGCAAGATTTGTGGCGATGGAGAAGCATCAGATCTGAATGCTTGCCCTTGAGGTCTAGGGCTCGACTGCTGCATTACAGGTCCCGGAGGCCTAGACAAAGGCCCAACAGAACCTACAGAACAAAACCATGATGCTTATTAAAATAGTAGAATGAGATAACTAAAGGCCACTGAAAAAAATTAGATGTCAAAAAAAAAAGTTATATATTTCTTAAGCTCACAATTAAAGAATGTGCTTTTGAGAAGCCACTGTCATGTTTACCTCAGATTCCTTTTTAATGTCATCTTGTTGCATAAACTCAAATGTTGATAAATTTTAATATCACTATTAAATTATTCCCATCACTACTACATCACTATTAAATAATACTCACCAATCCTTGGTGAATCTCCTGGTCTTGTAGCTGTTGATGAGACTTGGTAGCCCGAGGAGTGGCCCTGAAGTGAAGTAGGGGGTAGCGACTGCTGTCCAATATGAACTGGTCCTGGAGCTAATAAAGACAAGTCACAAGTAACATGTTTTAAAAGTTTATTAACCAAGAGCGCTAGCAATCTAGATTGAAAACTTTGAGGTGCCAGTGATAATAACCACTATTGCCTTGAGCTCTGTTCACAATATCACATTTTATGTGACAAATTTGTGTGATGCCAAATATGGGCATATCACAGTTATTTGTCACATAAATTTTGATTTTTTTGTTTACAAATTTTAAAAAGTGATCTTTATTTTTCTCCATTTTGCACATGAAAGTTGTCTAAATTTAGTGTCTGATGTAAAGGTACTGCCATTGTAGGCCTGTAAATTCATTGCAAAATATCGATTATGGGTTATTTTTATTCAGTCTGATGAAAATCCTTTGAAAAACAAATAGTGAGACAGGCTTTTCCAAGCATTGTGATTTAATATGTTAATTTTGGTATGTTGTTTAAACCACTGAACAAAATCTTACCCCGAGGTTGGTGAGAAGCAGGTGACATCATCCTCTGGAAGTTTCCCATCATTCCGGGACTCATTCCTTGCACATGACTACCTGAACCCGACATTCCCATTCCATTGGGAGTTGGGAGAGGTGGATGGGAGATGTTGTGTTGTTCAACCTGCACGCATTCATTAGCAAATTCATCCTTTACTAGACGAGTAGGAGGAGCTAAAAAGGCAATTGGCACATATTGTTTGTTAATTGCAATTTTGGCAACCTTTTTGAATTGTATCAAAAACATACAGAGGAAAATTACCACAATTCTACGAACCGTAATGATTACAAAACTATGTTGTTGCTGAAAAATATTGTAATTCCAGTCAGAATGAAATGGATGACATCACTATGAAACAGTTGAATGCAGCTTAAAACCCTACATGATTACCTTATATTAAGATATAGAACATCTTCTTAATATATTTTAAATTAAAGAAAACATTTCTCTGATGAACAGTAAACTGTATAAGTTACACCTGTTAGAAAAAAAAAAATAAATCTTGTTTCTCCTTCATCCAAAATTTCATAAACACTTTAAATATATAGCAATGATTAATGAAATTTTTTCATATCCACAGATATAAGCACCATTAAGTGAAGAATCAAACAATTATATAGTACTGTAATTATATTGCATTAGGTGTTACTGAAAGGCTTTCAAGCTGATCAATGATTATACAAGACATTAGTTGATATCTTTCACTAATTCTTGGTACAGTACATGTACCTAAATGTAATGTCTTCCATGAAACCTGACAAAGTCGCCAGTAATCAACCAAGAAAAGAAAAATAGGTTGTCAGGACTAAAAATATCAATTTTGATATTTTGAATACATCATGTTCAATAACTATCTGTCATCTAAATAGATTTTAACTTGCAATTGAAAACTACATGTTACATTTTTTATGATTTTATAGAATTGATGCTGGGTAAATTTTTAGTTTTTCTATTTGGTATGTTGGTATGTTGGTAGTCATGGGTAACTCATGCTGCAAATTGAAGTTTGAAGCTATTCTTCTCAGTTGTGCAAATAATATTGATACAAATTTGCTAAAATATGATTTCTTTTCTTTTTTATAACAAATTTCTATACAATTCTAAATTATTTAGAAACACAAATGTGAACACTTTGCCAATTTGACTGGAATTCATATAAATATATTCAACCAATCGAGCAAAACAATTCTTTTAAAGAATTGTTGGATTTGATAATTTATTTTATACATTTTTGCAATAAAAGGTTAAGTATATCAAAAATTCTTTAGAATAATTTTCTGATTTTTTTGTTTTTCATAGAACAGCTTTGTAAATATCATACACAATTCAAAGTCATTCTCACTGATGCTCATCAACTCTCACTGGTGATAAAATTATTCAGGTTGTAGATGTACTTGTAAGAAACACAAAGTCAAGATTCAGTTATTGAAAATATTTAGCACCATTTTATTTTCCATTGAAAATATTACTGTTAAATCAATAGGTAGCATAAGCAACAAAATATCTTGAAAACAATTAGTTTACAAAATTTCATAAACAAAATTACATAATTAACAAATTGAGCTTCAAACATCCAATATGGATCTATTTATATAAAAATAACAAGCAATTATACTTTAAAAAACATACAATCATGTTTAAAACATTAAGTATACAGTAGCACATTTATAATTTAATTAAAATAATAATTTGAGTAAGTTTTTTAAATTGCTTCTGTAGCCCATCATCAATATCATCAGCTGCTGTTACATAATTTCAGCTGCCATAATTCCAGCAATGACCAAATTCAAAGTCTATGTGTCAGGCAAAATCAGTTCAATTCAAATACTTTTTAGAAGATATGACCATGTTTCACTTCATTCTTCATGCCTGTCTGCATCTCTTGCAGTCCTTTTTTCAATCATAACTTCAGCTGCCATTAATCTAAGTACTTTCCATGATGTATTACAAAGTCTCGGGCTAACTTATTGCACTTCAGATAGTAAAAAAAAGTATTTAGTATTTTGTGTAAAAAGTTCTAATTAAACCTCTGTTCCTTCTGAATTTTCAACTGTTTGTTGTATTTTCATTGTAATTCTCAGAAGACTTGCAAATAAACATTCTCCTTTCATCTGGTAATTCTTTTCAATGTTATCACCAATTCTGCTCAAGGCTTCTGTGGCAGCAATTTCTGCAGCTTCTTGTTCTGGAGTTTTTTGTGGTTGTTCATCTCCATCAATGTCTACGTAAAAGTCTGGCTCATCGTATCCAATTTTTTCTTGAGTATATGTCTCCACAAAAAGAAATCTTTCTGTCGATCCATTCATCATTTTAGCAATTGGTAAATAGCTGCTGACTGGCGTGCACAGGGCTGGACTACAAAAGTTGTCGCTCTTTTTAAAACTGTCTTCATTAACAGGTATCTGTAAAGACTCCGAATTTGAAATAACAAGAGGTGGAACCACCATCGTGCGTTTTCTGTACAGCTGAATTGGTTCTTCAAAGCTGTTTTCGACTTCCACTGTTGGTGTACAATGTCCCTTCTCCATTTTAATTGAACTTGATCGGCACATGTTGCAATAGCTAGAAAACCTTCAGTTGTTGACTATATTGCCATTCGTAGATCAAATGATGCACTGGCTTCTGCGATGCCTTTTATAGAGCGACAGCAATGTCCACGCTAGTATTCAATGCCAACAATTAGGTTCAATGAAAATTAAAGCCATTCTATTGGCTATGTAGTACTGACCGTTCCTTGATAATGTCGTACTTGAACCTCTGACAAGGTCTAAACGAATACAATTCACACCCCCACAGATAAATGTACGTATTACGAAAGAAAATCAATAAATTTATTATGTTGGCAACCATGAACTGAACTTTAATTCATTAATATTAAATGAGCACCAACATCAACCAATGATATTGAAGCCAACTCTGCTGTGATCTGATTGAAGCAAGTCCAACACGCTGACCTTGTACGATTGAATACAATTCATTGATTGTAGCGAGACGGAAGATGGACAGCATTTATCTTATAGCAAACAGTACATTTTGTTTTATACAGTACTTAATAATAAGAATGCTATGCCCTGCTAATTGACTGTAAAATTTGTAATTGTGTGCTTTTATAATTTTTATTGAAGTGCACATTTCTAATTTTATTTTCACCCTAAAATTGTTAAATATTTATCGGTTATACTGTACAAAAACTGGATTAAGTTTGTAAACCCACTATTGAATGTATCTGACCAATTCTTTTCATGCAAGACACTAGCAAACCCTGCAAACTTTCATAAGCACACTTCCATCCAAACTAAATGACAAAGATTCTATCATACTACAGTATCAGTATGTTAGGATACACTACTGTATCTAATAAGTCACAAGTGTCAAATAAATAGTTGATATTTAAAAAAGAAAAGGTTTGCTATGGATTTTCAGGTTTTTTTTCTTTTACTCAAAAAATGAATTCTTGAACCTCATGATGCCTGAGCATTCAGTTTTTTTTGTTTTTTTTTCAAATGTGACAAAACAATCAGTAAATTAGTTGAAATAAATGGCAAAGTAAGTTACATTAGACGTTACAACAAATCTACTGTATGGTGCAATCATAACTATTGATATATGCTCTGTCTTGCATAAAGTTCAGTGGATGTAATATTTCTATAAGAACCCTCCTTTTCAAAATCCTGGATGCCACTGCTATATGCAACATATGCCAGACAAAATCTTATTGTTTAACACGTTCAATGCCACATCTTTTGTACAAGCTCTGCCCTGTATGCCATAAGTTTACGAATGAAAACACAGTTTTTTCAAATCATACTAAACTAATCATAAATTATGAAAATGGTGTTTAATAAATTGGCGGGAAAATATTTGGGGATGATTAAACTTGTGGCTGGCAATAGGAAAATTGTTTTTATTGCCTGTGCCAGGTGCGAGTTTTCTCGTCCACTTTTTGCATGAGTTGTTCAGAGGGTGCCCCACACGTGCCATCTTCTGTACCGACGGCAACAAAAGCTGTATTTTAAGTATAATTAAGAATTTAAAAGAGAACAAATATTCCCTGTCAATTAACGGATGGTTAATAGTGTTGACTGATATTCTTTTTCGCATAGACCCTTAAATCAATAAAGATATTTGTAGTAAAATATTTGTAAAACTAAATTTCGTCGATCTTTTTATGGTAAATATTTGATCATTTTCAACGAGCTATTTAAAATGTTATTTGAATTTTTGAGGTCACCCCACCCCCCACACAAGTTCTTTTGCATACAGTGTATCTTTAATCATTCTTGAGACAAAAAATGTTACATAGACAGCACGCAGAATCAATAATCAATCACTCAAATTAGCCACCATATACAATACTGTACTACATATAATTTGTATTAGTTCTTTCTTCATTTTTGTGTTTCCTTTTTATTGCAGTTTATATTACTAAGTAAAATCTAGATTTAGAATTTAGAAAGGTATACTGCAAGCCTTTTAAAAGTACATTTTATCTGAATTGAGCATACAATCCTGGAAATGTGCAGAATGGTACAGTCATTGTCAAACAATAACATTCAGAGGTTTGAATTTCATGTTTAAACTTCCTTAATGTCAAAGAAGAGGTGGAGCATTACTGAAGGCAACCAGTACAAAGGCATTGAAGATTGTAAACTGATAACTCAAACAAGGGCTAGTAGAATGGCTGGGCATTTAGCAGGGGCACTATGATTCTGGTGATAGAACAAGTCTTCTCAGATAAGGACTATACCGTACACCCAGTGTATACAATGACTTATGTGCACTATAAAAAATCATGTACATCATTTGAGATGAGCAGGGGGATACCCTGGCGTATACGCGAGTTGCTGGTACCGGGTTACCGGGTAAAACAGACACGAAGGGATCTTTAAGGGAGAAGAAAGTCATTGATCGAGTTCCTAGTCCACATATCAAGTGCCTGAGCCTCATATTTGATGCATATGGCGCTTTATAAAACTACATTATTATTATTTTATACATACCGGTCATCCAAATTTTTAAAGCAACAATGATGTTAACATAAATTATCCAACAGCTTCGTGGAATGTTATTTGCTGTAACTTCATAAATTGAAGTACGTACAGTATGTACACACACACACACTCACACACACTGAAGTTTATCAACAGAAAATTCATTAATGATCACTGGTGAT